ACAGGGGAACGAGACAGGGGAACGAGACAGTGGAACGAGACAGGGGAACGAGACAATGGAACGAGACAGGGGAACGAGACAGGGGAACGAGACAATGGAACGAGACAGGGGAACGAGACAATGGAACGAGACAGGGGAACGAGACAATGGAACGAGACAATGGAACGAGACAATGGAACGAGACAGGGGAACGAGACAATGGAACGAGACAATGGAACGAGACAATGGAACGAGACAATGGAACGAGACAGGGGAACGAGACAATGGAACGAGACAATGGAACGAGACAGGGGAACGAGACAATGGAAATGCGACATTGTTTAAATATTATTTATTATTATTTTTTTGAAAAACCATTTGAAATGAACATCACATTAGTCAAGGAATAACCCGTGGGAACTGGCATAGCTGGGGATGTCGTGCACCCCAAGGGCAGGCAAATCTTTTGACCACTTTACTTCCATGGAAAAAAACAACAACATGCGTAGGCCAAAAATGCAGTTTTTAAATAAAAAGAATATGGCAAGGAACAACCACCACCCCCCCCCACCCCCCCCCTGTTCCCATGCCATGGGGATGGCGTGAACCCCAAAGGCAGGCAAATCTTTTGACCACTTTACTTCCATGGAAAAAAACAACAACAAGCGTAGGCCAAAAATGCAGTTTTTAAATAAAAAGAATATGGCAAGGAACAACCACCACCCCCCCCCCACCCCCTCCTTGTTCCTATGCCATTGATTGGAAAGCTGAGAATATTAAGCTTCAAACCTTGGTGAACTACCTAAGTTGTTGGCATGCTTTCAACCTAAACAACAGTATAGTATGAACAGACCAAGTGACAGCAAAGCAGCATAGTATGGATGGATTAAATGGCAGCATAGTATGGACAGACTAAATGACAGCATAGCAGCATGGTATTAATGGACTAAATGACAGCATATCAGCATGGTATTAATGGACTAAATGACAGCATAGCAGCATGGTATTAATGGACTAAATGACAGCATACAGTATGAACACAATATCTAACTTGGTATTGATATGGATTGGTTTACACAACTAACCAACACTACCAGCTCGATTAAAATACTGTATACCCTAAAGAACTAAGGCGGAAAACCTCAGAATAAACACATTGGTCCCCTGCACACAATGTCCTATCCATGTTCAAGTCGTAAAGGGCTTTATAAGAAAGTCTCATAGGCTGTTAAGGTTTTTGCTGCATTGTCATACTGTTTGAATTCTTGTATAAAATTTATATTTACTTCCCTTTTGCTAAAGTTTTAGACAATGAAATCATATCGGAACGTAATTTACAAACAGCAGGGGAGGGAATAAAGGCATCCACAAACAAAAATTACAAATTAATTTTCACTTAACCCTTTTTTTCTCTTTTAAAATTCCCCTTTGTGCGCCATGAAAGATAAAATCTGAAAATCCATTTACAACACAGAGGTAATAAAATACATCTCTGAAATATTACCATTACAAAAGTACACATTCAAATTCAATAAAAGTGTGCGGCCATTATTACAATTTTAAAAATTTGATGCATTTCCTTTGACGGCTGAAAAGTGGCTTTATGTTGATCGTTTAGTCTTAAGGCAAAGCAGCTCACAAATTCATTTAGACTTTACACACTTTTTACCTATCTGAAAATCATCTCCATGCCGCCCCATTTCCTTTCAGTTATTTTTAATATATGTTTACATAACATGGAGCTCAGGGAAAACGTTTTATACAGAATTTTCCACCACACTTATATCTTCTTTAACGTCTTGTCAAATGGAAAATTAATACCAAGTACATCTCATCAAAATATCACACTACAATCATTGGAGTTATAAGGTACTTTTAAAAAAAATGATTGATTTAAAGTTTCATATTGATTCATAATGAAGACAATGACAACAACAGTAAACCATAGTTAAAACCAAATGAGATGCTGACACTTACATTGTTGATTTGACAGGTTTAAACAAAACAAACGAGTTTCACCCACTTAAAATAAATTGCTCTAAAATTGGATAATTATAAAAAAATTATGATTTTCACAAAACTTTTAAGCACATATGACAAAATCGACATCACTGTTCTATAAAAGTAAACAATTTCTTGTGAAAAGAGTAAAGAAAACGCTGGTCAGGACGGAATAAAGTGCATGCAATATTAATATTGATGCAGAAAATACTTCATTATCAAATAAACTGGTTGGCATTGATGATTCTAAATAAGGAATCACTGATACAGATTCATGACCTCACATGATTTAATGTGCTCAAAGTCAACAATTTTAGGACCTTTGAAAACAAAAATGATACACCAAATAAACCAATCCTCAAGACTGCTGTTCACACAAAACATAGACGTTTAACAAGTAAAAATATATCCATGCACATGGAATCACTGGAGTTACAGTAAAGTTTGATCCCAGTATTCATAGGCTTAAGAAATTGAATAACAGGCACAAGTTCAAAGTTCATAAGCATGAAACATTTGATGCAATATCTTCAGCTAAATTTAATATTTTTTTTATGAACAAAGAGGTGCATTTTGATTATTTTCAAGATTAAGAGATTATTAAAAAAAACTTTTACTTAACTTAGTTTAGGAATTTTTATGTACCAATGTTTGCAAAATTTTTCATTTTTGCAAATTACTGTAATTAAATGTGTAATTTTGCAAAATTGAATTTTCAACTTATAATTAGTTCTGTGTTTATAAATAAATACACACCCATATAAGGGATCCATAGCTCAAGATTGATTGTTAAATAATCTTTTATAATCAAAGCAGAATTCTGAGACAGTCCAATTAGTTTCACCAGTTGTTTTTCTGGTAGAAAATATTGCGCAAACCTATTTTAGAAGGCAGAAACTTTCAAAATCAATAGCTAGAAATAACAACGCTTGATTAAGGTACATTATTTTAGCATGCTGTCCTGAACATTATTTCAATTCAAATATGATGGCATTCTGGTTATACACAACCTTTAAACAATAAGCATTGATATGCACATGTAACTAATTGAGATATAATGAAATCTACCAAGAACAAAATCTCTAATTTTGACTAGTTAAAATATGAAGTTCAACAAGGCACCATGACATTTCATCTTTTGTCCCAATAACAGCTATCAGCAAAGAGACAAAATGAATACATTTCAGTTTCAAGTATATTAAATTCTAAGCTAACATCTGTTTAAATTTAAGTGAGACTATCATGAAGACCATAAGATAAAAAATAATAAATATTTCACTTTTCTTTTTTTTAATCTATCCATTTTTAGTCATATAGACCTGATGGTGAAGTCACATATGAGCCTTGTTCTGCCATACCCAAATTGTTTACTTTATAAAAATGTACAATTTTTTAATAACACTTTACCATCTATCATAATGGATCATTCATGACTTGCTATTTTAAAACATATTTAAATAATCTTGCCTCATCTTCTTTCAACAAGTAAAAAAAGTTTGTGGATCTCAACAAATTTAAAATAAATTAAGCTGGGCCAAGTTATAGTTCAGTGACCAACCAGGATTGTGCTAATAGTAGAAATCAAACAGAACATTAAAAACGACTGCCGTAAACTGTGGTCACAACAGTAGATTTTTTTAAAAATGCATTTCCGAGACCTCACAGAGTTAAAGCAGGATTAACATTTAATCCTCAATACAATAATAATATTATTGCAATGTACCGGTACAAAAAAAATAACCTCAAGCGACAAGGGTAAGTGAATATTAAATATATTCTGAATAAATTTTAAAACATCTGTAATTGTAGTCATGCTTGCCATTGGGCAAATTTAAATAATTTATTCTTGAATTCAGTGTTTCCCAAACTTTTCTACATCCTGCAGCCCCCACTAAATATTTGACGAGTCTTGCACCCCTTACATAAGTAACAATGCATTTAAAATTTTGAAAATAATGGACTTCTAATTTATTTGTTGCATTGCATAAAGAACTGTAGAACTTAAACCTGTCACTAATTACATAAAGGAAATGTCAATGAAGAAATGTTTAAAAATATATAAACATTTGTAACATATTTTTAAAGGAAATGTTTCTAAATCTCCCAACATCCCCTTGCCAGAGGTTGGGAAACACTGGTGTAATTTAAAGATCAAGTATTTAAAACATTTTCTTGAGACACTCACAGTTTTTAAATAAAAAAAGAGGATCTTCACCTTTCAATGCATTCCTATTTAAAATTATTCTCAACATCTTCCTGTCCTTTTTTAAAATTTAATTCTTAACAAAAAATAAGTAATTTAACTTTCAAATGATAGAACTATAACATATCAATCAAATCTGAACCTGACATAGTTTATTATCACAGAAAAATTCAAAGAATGAGTTGATTGTTGAAGGTGAGGGTACGTGGCTTATCAAGTATTTACTGGAATGTGTTGAGATGATAGAATCTATGCACAGCATTTACTAGAACCACTTTTCTTCTTTTCATACAAATCAGAGTTGGATTTCTGCACTTCTGAAAATTAGATATAGTGTCAAATCATTAATCATAATACTGATGGACATTAAAAAAAAAACAGTGTCAACACTTATTTATTTTTCATATTCAGAATATAAAGAAACCACTTGAATGAGGATTATTCTTTAAGTTGAGTCAGTCATGTTATCCTCAAATTTAAAAAAAGAATATGTTTGTTTATTTCTCCAATCATTTATTTCCCTTCCCTATGATTTTCATGCCCATTTTTTTGTCTGTCCTTTGAAAAAATTAACTTTAAAAAATTCACAAACACAGGTAACTTTTAAATTTTGAAGTTTCAACGAGTTATGGTGTACATTTGTCAACTAATAAATTAGGTAATGACAAAAAAGAATAGTAAGAAATAAATTTGATGTTTTAGAAATATAAATATATCAACATTTACAAGCCCAAAAGAGACAGAATTGTTTGAATATTTTGTAACCCTTTAATATAAACATATTCTTCCCTGAAAACTGAATTTCTTTCATGATAGCTTGATTGCTTAAGTTTTTTTCCCATCAGTAATTGCTGAAACTCAGACATGAAAGGGTTGGTGTGGATATTTTGGGGTAATTAAAGGCATGGTGTGCTGGGAAGGTGGTGGGGTAGAGGATGGCAGGGCAAGAGAATGGGGGGACAAATGTCAAGAATGGCAGTCCCGTCTTTACAGGGTTATACAATGGGCGAAAGGAGCTGTCATGGACATCCCCCAAATCTTTTTTAATGAAGACTAACAACTCACTGATTGTTCCGATCTGTTTGGCAGAAACATTTGTAACCTCCAACTCTTTCAGTAGAGTGTCATCAAATGATAAACACATGGCACGGAAGAAGAACTCTGTTACATTGATTCCTTCATTGGTTGTAAGAAGAAAACAAAAACAATCCCTTTAAAAATGTGTGACGTCTATTATGCTGCAAAGCTACTGAAATTCCTTTCAAAATAATGTACCTGCTCTCCATGCAGTTAATTTGACTTTAACAGGGGATTCTTCTTATTTTGGACCAATGATTATCACGGCAGCCATTTAAATGGAACGTTTGGGCAACAAAAACAAACATCTTGTTATGAAGCTGGACACAAACAGAAAGGCATCTCTCAAAACTACATAATACCCAGTGGTATTAAGATATTACGTTTGGAGGTGTCTAACTTTAAAGTTTGGAAGATTAAAATCCACAGATTTGAACTCTAAAAGTTTCTGTCAACAAAATTTTTAGCCAGCAAAAAGATGAAATGAGGAAAAACAATTAACTTTGAGAAATCAGAAAACCAGAAATGAGATGATTTTGACTGATTTTGATAAATTGATCAACAAAAAACTTATAAGTTTCATTTTTTTGCCAGAGTTATGATTTTACTTATTAAAGAAAGTATTCTTATAGCAGTCTTCGATAAAATAACCTAATACACATTTGTTTTCAGTTACAGTAAATCAAGAATGCAGGGTAATGTATACAACATGAGATCTAAATCTCTAAAAAAAAACTTATGCTATGCTCTTTTCATGTATGGCCTTGTATGAAAAATGTATGGCCTTCAAAACTTTTACTTTGGTTGTTGCTGTGTCTAGTTCACATTTTAATTAAAAAACTTTAACATTTCGGTACAGCCTTTTGAATGGAACATAGGGGCTTTTGTTTATAGGAAGCAGCATGGTTTTATCAGGTCATATTTCTGTTTGACAGTTACTCAATTTAAAAGCTTATTGCATGAAATTATTTCATTAATCTGCAAATCTCATTTTTTTTAAAAATAATTGCACTTTTCTGTACAGCTTCTTAGATTATTTACTATTCAAAAGTATTTTGATTTAATGGTAGAGTTCATTTTAAGAATATATTGTTGAAAATTCTTAATTTAAATATATGTAAATTACCTGATTTTGAAGAGGTTGCCCAGAATTCTGCACCTAATTTGTCAGCATATTTTAAAGCTCTGGACTCAATATCAGCATAAGATGAAGGGGACTGGAAATGAAATAAAACTCTAAGTAGAAAATAATATGCTATATATTATGCAGAATTAAAATATCACACTTAAATAAGCACTATCATTTGTAATATAGGTATATAAATCTTAACCCTCTTGAGACAGCTGCCCCGATCTATCAGCCTTATGGCGAAAAAGAAGAAAGCCTGATCGATCAGCACAATTATAAAAGCCTCGAGGTTGGCTGGCTGGTCTTCATACCACCTAAGTGCAGATCATTTCTTACTCATATCGCTATAATAAAGGCGGCTTCCATTGACAGTTTACAATGTACTATCATTTTATTTTTCTTTACTTAGTGACCCTTATAAATGCTAAATTATGTGACCTTGAAATATGACAGAGATAAGCAGCCCTCATGGAATATTTTATCCAGTTTTTCACAATGAATCCCATTCAAATGTTTGTTAGGACTTATTTAGGCTTCAATAATCATACAATTTTAAACAAATCCTGCCAGTAAGACATATTTATTCTAAGTGTAAAAAGCATTGCATGCATAAATTATGTAAATCAGGCTATCTCATTGCATAAATGTTAGGATTTCAGTTAGTTAGTTTCAATTAGTTCAATCGATTCCCTACAAGAATATATATATTTTTATATTAGTAAAAGTATATGTGTATTTTTTATAAATGTTTTGCAAAGTAAGTGAAAAGGGCTCTGCATTCTTGGCACAGACACTCAAAAAAAGGCTCCATTTCTAGAGGGTTAATGATGCATTTTGAATTAGTATTTTGACTGTAGAAAGAAATAAGCCACCGCATTACAATGAAACGTATGAAATGTAATTCAATCCGCTCTTCAATCAACTCAAATTATTAACTGAACACATTAAATAAACCAACAAATTAAAGTCTAGGTCAGGTGCCAAGTTGGGGACTGGAAAAAAAAAAGGGGGGGGTGGGGGGGGGGAAGGGGAAGGGGGGGAAAGCGGTCAAAGAACATCTTTCAGAGAATAGATGGAATAGATGTCTAGGGGTCCAAAAGTTCCTTAACTGCCCCCATGGCTCCTCAGCCAGATCGGCTCATGTCAAACAAAACTCATGTCCAACTAAATTGAAATCACAGATAGCTATCCTGGTCATTAATGATATGTTCATTAGGGATGGCCAGATGATTTGCATCGCACTCACAAGTAAATCCTTCTTGGTGCCAACTAGAAATTTCACGGGTTCATCGGCACTAGCACAGGCCTCCTCCATCCATTTGTTTGTGTGGTGTAAGGACTCCTCATCTGTTAGATCAAAGGCAACTATCACAACTGTACAAGAAGAGAGAAAGAAAAAAACACAATCCTGTCAGGTACAACACAAATAAGTAGCACAGATAGGCTATGCAATATCCTAAGAGCACATGCATAATTCTTAAAGTTTACAATAAGACTGAGTATTTTAGAGGGACCAGCACAACTTGTATGCACGTTTTTGAGAGGTAACTGCACAGCTTTTATGAATAATTTTCAAACCATTTTTAGCCATAAGGTTAAAAGCTAGTTATATTCTAATATATCAGCAAAATGTGGCATGGTAATAACAGTCTGTAACCACTTCCATTCCTGCAATCTGTTGTCTTTTTTTTTTTTCATGAGCCAACAGTGACCTAAGAGTTTCACAATCAAGTAAGAAAAAAGAATTGATTGAAAGGAATGAAAATCAATGTAAATTACAAAAATGTTGTTGCTTTTTTTTTCACATACTTTAACAACAAAGCATGGAAATGGAACCTATCATAAAATGGATCTAATCATATCACTAACTTGGAGCTATTCCTCATTCAGATATAGTATTTAATACCTTGTGGGTTGAAGAATTTTAGTGATTAATTGGTAGAGCTCCTAGAGTTACTTCTCTCGTTGCCAACTCCTTGATCACCTCACTCAGTTTGACTTGTTTGAACCGATCCAATCAGCATACAGGGCGCATCACTCTACTGAGACAGCCCTGTTGCGCGTCGTAAACGACCTTCTGTCATCTTGTGACGAGGGCCGGGTATCGATTTTGTCTTTATTCGATTTATCGGCAGCTTTCGATACGCTCGACCACGGCATACTGCTCCAGCGTCTGCAACAAACGTTCGGTCTCACTGATACCGTCCTGTGTTGGTTCCGATCGTATCTGAATAATCGGGTCCAGTCAGTTATTTCAAATGGCTTGACCTCGAAGAAATCTAATCTCGAATTCGGAGTACCACAGGACTCGGTCCTAGGCCCGATGCTTTTCACGATGTACATTCAGCCCCTGGGTGCAGAGATCAGGCAGTTTGACATGTTGTATCACATGTTCGCGGACGATACAGAACTTCATCAATCCATGATCACTTCTCAGTTCCCTCAGCTGCTCAGTATGACACAGAAGACAATGGAGTCGGTTAAGCACTGGATGACCATTAACAAGTTCAAATTAAATGATGATAAGACTGAGCTGCTCCCCATTGCGACCGCTCAGAAGCAGAAATCTGCAAATAACACGATATCCATTACTCTCTCAGGTGTGCGTATTGAGTTAGCTCAAACAGTGGGGTACCTGGGTGTCTACCTAGATAGAAGACTAACTTTTGAAAGTCATATTAACATGCTATGCAGGGCGATTTTTCTGGAGCTGCGCAGGATTAGTCAAATCAGGCCCTTCCTAACAATTGATACAACAAAGAGGCTGATGTCTGCATTTGTGCTATCACGCATGGACTATTGCAATGCTCTCATGGTGGGTCTTTGCTGATGTCTGCATTTGTGCTATCACGCATGGACTATTGCAATGCTCTCATGGTGGGTCTTTCAGCTACGCTCCTGGATAAAATTCAAATAGCACAGAATAATGCGGCTCGCATAGTTCTCCGCAAATGCAAATTCGACCATGCAAAAACACTTCTGAGAGAGTTGCATTGGCTGCCGGTGCGTGCTCACATAGAGTACAAAATCGCAACTTTGTGCTACTGCTGCTTACATGACCTGGCGCCGTCCTATCTGAAAGAGCTGCTGACGCCTTATGTACCCAGTAGAGAGCTCCGCTCATCCGATAGTGGCAAACTCTCGACACCACGTGTTTGCCTTGAGACTTACGGAAAGCGCACTTTCGCATTTGCTGGTCCAACAATTTGGAACGCCCTTCCTGTCGATCTTAGAAACAACCAGACACTGGAGTCCTTTAAAACCGATCTAAAGACACATCTATTTCGCAAATACCTTCTGGGATGATTGTCTACCTTATTTTCCAGTTAATGCATAATGGCTGTGTTGCTCCGGGTTGAAATGGCTAGAAAGAGTTTGAGATTGTATGCTTGTAATTAGTTTTTGTAGTGTTGCGTTTGTTTTAAATGTGGTAAATTATAGATATGTTTTTTGTTGACTTTGTACCGCGCTTCGAGCCTTTGGGGATGAAGCGTGTTTTTGAAATGAACTTTATCTGGAGTCCTTTAAAACCGATCTAAAGACACATCTATTTCGCAAATACCTTCTGGGATGATTGTCTACCTTATTTTCCAGTTAATGCATAATGGCTGTGTTGCTCCGGGTTGAAATGGCTAGAAAGAGTTTGAGATTGTATGCTTGTAATTAGTTTTTGTAGTGTTGCGTTTGTTTTAAATGTGGTAAATTATAGATATGTTTTTTGTTGACTTTGTACCGCGCTTCGAGCCTTTGGGGATGAAGCGTGTTTTTGAAATGAACTTTATTATTATTATTAATATTTCAAATTGAAAGCAAAGTCAAAAGAAATCAACCATGTCAATAGTGGTTTAATTGTTCAATAACATTTCTATAGTCATTGTCCTTAAATAGAATTTGAAAATAAAGGTGTTCACAGTAGGTTGTCATATGTACAATATTAAAATGGCATGCAAATGTTACAAAGACCTTGCAATGCATGTTAATTTGTATATGTTCAATTAAGGAATTTGTATCCAAACACAAGAAAACATTTAATGAACTTACTCTGAGCACCCCTGTAATACGAAGCTGCTATACACTTGAACCTCTCCTGTCCTGCCGTGTCCCAACTGAAATGTAATTTTTTTTTTTTTATTAAACTACAGTAGAAACATTATAAATTAAGCTTTTCAATTAAATTATTTTTTCATATACTTGAAGCTCATAAAAAATTATAAACAACTTTAGATTTAATCATGAAATTTGTTTAAACATTATTTAAGTTTCTGTTTGAAAACAAAATTCTTAAATGACAAGGAAATTTGCAAATATTCCTAAAAAGTCATTAAGAAATAAAGTTGTGATTTTTATCTCTATTTAAATTACATTTGTAAAGTTATTGGCACAGAGAGAACACTGAATTTCTCTACTTCAAAGTCAACACCAATGGTAGCTTTGTACTCTCTGTCAAACACATCATGGCAAAACCTGCCAAAAAAACCAATACAAAATGCATCCAATGAAATAAGTGTGGTTTAATTTGGATAAAATAATTTTTTTTAAAATTTTACCATACAACAATAAGTAAATATTTAACAATCTATTTGCTTGTAAACAATTTTTTTTAACACTTAGAAAAATTGTCAAGGTAAAGTGACAATGCTAAACACATATTAAACAAAAATATTTTTAAATGGGTGTTTCCTTCTGCACTTGCCTATTCACAAGACTTGTTTTTCCCACTGACACATCTCCGACCAAAACAGCTTTGGTTATCTTTAGCCTGAGAAAAATCAATTTCCGTTTGTAAACTTAAATAAATATAAAATAATGACCCAATTTATTATCGGAGGCATTTAAAGAGATAATACACAAATTGAAAATCTTAACCTTATAAATATTTATTAAAAATACATTAAAAATGTCGAGGCAAGGAAATAAAAAAAAACAAGCAAATAATAGGAATGCACCTTACTTCAGTGAAAACCAGGAGGAAGTGATATTAATATACATATATATGTCAAACATGCAAATATATTCAGGTATTCAAAAAATAATTACAAGAAAATCTTAGAGTTTTAAAAATTTGTTTTGATATTTTTATTTATTTATTGTCTCAATTTTGTGTGAGCTGTTTGATCATGAAACAATAGCAGAATAAAAGGTTAAGGTAGATTGCATTGTAAATGGCCAATCCTCTGCTAGGAACAAAAAAGGAAAAGAAGAAGGTAGAAATAATAGAGTGCAAAAGGTGAGAATCTGTGGAGCCAGATGTTCGGAGAGAGTAGAGTCATGTGAATAAAATTACATTGTCTTAAAGTTTGACTTAAAATTTCAATCATACTTGAAACAGCATGACAACTTGTTTACTAGAGCTACTGAGCTTAATAATTCATGACAATTAACTAGATTGTATTGTAGTGACAAATACATAAAAAAAATAATAAATAAATAATTGTTAAAATAAAAAAAGGATTAGTCACATAAATATGTTTCAGGCCTGAAAGGAAATAATATAATTAAGTTTATTCATAATGAAATAGCTCTAAATTAGGGCCAGAATAAAGGGGGAAGAGAGATAAATGGTGGAGGGGGGTTTTGTTATAGGAATCGTTTTCAAAGTGTGGGAGAGGGTAAGGTCTGTGTTGGTAGCTTTGTGTTTATAGGTGAGAGTTGAAGGAATAAAGGCATGTGGGGAAGGTATTGGAGGTGAGGGAGGCACAGATGAGAGAAGGATACATGAGAAGATTTCAGGTGAGGAGATTTTAGGAAGGTCTGGGTGGAGAGCAGGGAAGATACCTAATATGTTGCAGTTATTTCCTGTCATATGAGTGGGATGATTACAATTTAATGCTAAGTTTTAAATATTCACATACTTAATATTTGGTGATTATAAAGCTGTCAAGTGTGTTAATAAAGCTGTTAGGTTTCAAAACATTTTTCTTAGTTAATTACTCTTAAATTTTTTGTCATTCTTACCCAACACGACCAGTTCTGTTCTCTGAACACGCTGCCTTAACCTTAGGGTGAAAGTTAACTTTGGAATATGGTGTCCCATCAGGATGAAATGGCTGCAGAAATAAATGTTTAGACTTAGAAAAAATGCTGTAAACTGGTTATTGGAGCTATAATAACCTAAACTTTATTAATACAAAATAAGATGTATGATTTTTCAATTCAAACAATGGACACACATAATATGTAATCAAAATTATATCATGGCCTGATAGTCCTTACTAAGGCCAATGTTGAATGTTAAGCCAGTTTTGGTCTTTAAGCATTGGCATAGGACATGCTTATAACAGTAATTCTCAAAGTGTGTGTTGGAGGGGGGGGGGGAGGGGGGGAGGGGGGAAGGGGGCACTAGTGATGCCTGTTCTTTGCAGGAAAATAAAATATGTTGAATGTTAAGCCAGTTTTGGTCTTTAAGCATTGGCATAGGACATGCTTATAACAGTAATTCTCAAAGTGTGTGTTGGAGGGGGGGGGGGAGGGGGGGAGGGTGGAAGGTGGCACTAGTGATGCCTGTTCTTTGCAGGAAAATAAAACACGCTATGACTTTTTTGTTTTTGAAAATAATAATGATATGGATTTTGTTACAGAATTTTGTGGGTGTGTATTTTGCTTTTTTTCCCAAATTTAAAAAAAAATGGTCTGGACAAGTGAGTGCATATAAGGTGTGAGATCAAGAGTGGTAGGAAAATTGTACTCGGTTCACGAACGAGAGCTGTATCATAGAGAGAGATAGTGGGACATACATGTGATAGTGCCAAGTTATTTGGTGCCTGTGTGTCTAAGGATTTTGATTATGTATTTGAAAGGGTTATTAGTGCCGCTGGCTAGTATTGTTGTTGGCCTATGTTATGAGTAATAAAGAAGTAGATTATTGAACATCTACTATTCATGGACTTTAGTTGAGTGATTGGTGTTCCATAATTGTCAACCTGTGTATACCAGTACATACTTATGTATGGCAAGGCGTAGTCCACAACAAGAGAACGTCGTAACTATTGTAGTAATAACTAGATGTTACACGTAATAAAAATCATATTACTGGTCTATAGCTTATAGAAAAAGTCTTATGTAATGCAAAATAGATTTGAATGTCAATAGTAGGGGTGTGCCGGAGTCCGGTCCGGAATCCGGTTCCGCCGGATTTTGCACTATCCGGTGAAATCCGGTTCCGCCGGATTTACATGTATCCGGAACAACCGGATTCCGGAATCCGGAATATACCGGATTTCGGAATTTGCCAGATTTTGTGACTCACCGGATCATAATCTGAAATAAAAGTAATTCTTTTTCCCGAATTCCACACGATCACGATACATTAATCGATTGTTTCGAGCGTTGAGCTTGTTTAATGTTTAATATTCCGTACATACCAGAGGCTAGAGTCAGCACCGCTAATAGTGGCCAATAGTGTAGGGACTTTGATAAGAAAATTTAAACTTTTTGTAAAAATAAACCAATGGCATAGTTGAAAAGATGTAATTTTTTAAAGAATTATAACACCAAAATCATATTTTTAGCTGTTGTAGTTTTAAAGTTATGAATTTTTAAAGTACGACTTGGTTTGTCATTTTTTAACATGGACTGCATCTCCACATTCTGTGATCTCATTCCACCAATCCCGTCATGCGCAATGACTATATAGTTTATATAAGGCAACGCATTCCCTGCCTTATCACTAAAATACTGTTTAGACTTAGTTTAAACTTTCAACTTTGGCACATGAATAATTAATTAAAGCTTTCCCTGACCAATGGTTTAATAGTTTTTGCACACGGCAAACTCTTATGAATGAAACTCTGAGGTAGTACTACGATACAGTTATGCAAGTGGCTGTGAATGGTTGCCAATGACAACGTGTTGCACACGGTAAATTCTGATCATTTATAATATGGATTCTACCGGGTTGTTAAAGCTCAAATTAAAACATTCCAGTTTAAATGTCTTTAAATGCATTCTGAAACACAAGTTATCAATTATTTTGATGTAAATAGTGATAATAAATTAATATTTCCTAAGTATCGTCAACTTCCGCCATTAAAAAGGGGGGCGTGGCCAACCCCATGGCGAAATTAGGTTGAGCGAGCTGCATAACCTGCTGCGAACGCGTAGAAACATGGCGTCTCTCGTAAGACACTTATCCAAATGGAACGGAACTCAAATATATATCGAAAGTACTAATTTAATAATAAATAGACACACACATCGGAAAATTAAAAACTCGGATTTTTTGGCGCCGATTGCGAATTCCCATACACAAAAAGTAGTAGTCCACCTTGACTTACCGAAGTATCTACCAATAGTACCAAAATCCGGAATCCGGGAGAAACCGGAATCCGTATTATTCCGGAATCCGGATCCGAATCCGGCGGATTTCGCATAAGAAAATCCGGATCCGGATCCGGTTGGAAAAAACGGATCCGGCACACCCCTAGTCAATAGGCCTATAATTTTTCAAATTAAACATTAAAAAAGAACCAAGCCTATTCATGATCTTTGACTACTATATTACTCTTTAAAAAATTGAAGATTATTTAATAATTTATTAACCTGAAATCTGGTGGACCTCACCAATTTAACCCTCTTGAGACTGAACTTTTTTGGGATGTCAGTGCCAAGAAGACCGAGGCCTTTTCACAAGGCCTGCACTTACTTTGCAAAACTAATCATAAAAAATGAACTAATTATTTAACAAATATAAAACTTTATTTACTCTTATAGATTGTAGAGAAAGAATCAATTAATATGATCTTTATGAATCAAACTGAAATGTCAACATTTAGCAAATGAGATATCCTGATCTGCATAATTTAAACATGCAAATTTTTATTTTATTCTTAAAATAAACATGTTTTAATGTGTTTTAATATGTTTTCGAATAGCATTGAGTCTAATGGGACCCGGGTGCGAATGGCGGCGCTGCGTGACTGGGTCCATTTTGACTCAGTGCTATTCGGATATCATTTGTGGTATTTTATTTAATTAAACTGGAGAAGTAGGTCTACAAAAATATACCCATACAATTACCTTCCATTTGAGACATTTGATACCTCATTTTGTCTTACAAACCCAAAAATATAATTTTAAATAGTTTTTTAATCCCAACCTCTCACTTCTGGTACCTGGGTACGAATAGTCGTAGCCTCGAAAAAAAAAGGCTAGAGGCAGTAGAGTAGCTGAAGTAGACTAGAATTAAATTGTCTTAAAAATTGTTCTAATATATTATTAATCAATTCATAATAATAATTGGTCTCTAGTTCTAGTTGTAGCTTTTTTAGAAAAAAACCTGTGATGAAAAGCCAGTTAGACACAGTCCCAACAGTAAATGGCATTCGGAATAGTGTACCAAAGTGAATCCCGTTTCTACCTTTCTTAAACTGGGTATTCTGGACAATAACAGTAACATCAAAAAAGCTTACCGGTGTGAATTTGGTAATAACGCGATCCGACGCAACAGCATTGAGGATTGTCCGGGCCGAAGACATTTTGTTTCTAGGCATATAAATGAATGAAAATAATACTGCCTCCCTAATTTAGGGTAGGCGATAAATTTAGCTGCAAAACGCGTAATCTGTCCGTGTTTAGTAGTTTCTTTTAGCCTTAATGCTTAGCTCTTTGGCTAACGCCTCCAACAGAAATTTAGTTGTTCGCGGTCCAACAACAAACATGTAACCCGGAAATAAAAGGAATTAATTTTATTTGTGTTTTTTATTATGAAGAATGCCAGTAGTTAAGACTACAAATTTAAGTATGGATAAATAATAAAACAATATATTCTTAAAATGTTTTAAGACAAAGGCCTTCAGAGAACATTGGGCAGAGACCACAAAATATTAAACAATAGTACTTATTAATTAATAAATTTGTCTTATGTCTCTAAATAGATTATAAAACATTCCAAAATTATAAATAAAGCAGCAGAACAAAAACAAAAACATGTAATGGAAGCAAGATACTGAACTAATATTAATTTGATAACATTTAAAATGTAGCCTTAAATTCTTAAAGATAGCAAAGGAGAGCGGGGGTGGGGGGGGGGTGGAGTGTTCCACTCCAGGCGGGATTTTTATAGTTATATTGAGGGGAGGCATTTTAGTTTTTTTTTTATAGTTTTTTTTTATTTCATTGAATCATGAATGGGGCGGGAAAAGTTTACCCATTCTGGCTATTCGGGACGGCACTTAGGCTTAGGGCCCACCCTTGCTTTAGTCTATGCCACTGACGTTTGTTTACTTTACATACGTTCAATATCCCATTTATAAATTGTATGCAGCAAACATGTTTTAGCTCAATAAAAAGTGTATGTTTTTTTGCGTGGTCCCTAAAAAAGCCATAGGCTATGCATTTTGTAACTGCACTGGTATTTAAATATTAGAAATGCTCCTCGTCAGCTCTGTGAATTTAGGGACAACACAAATTAAAGCTCCAGTCGTTCCCTGAATTTACTCCATTCAACTTCAAATGGTGTGATATTAAACAGTATTTCTTTCAGGAATCTATTGGGGGGGGGGGGGAATTGAGCTATAATAAACAGAGATATTTTCATTTTTTTTCCCCTTAAAAATTGTGAATAGTAGGTTTGATCAGGACCGGAGCTGGGGGGTGGCGAATGGGGCGAACGCCCAATGCCCGCACGTAGCCCTTATATTATATATCTTTAATATACACAAGGCAAGGCGTGCCCAATCATCATAGTTCGTAATTTCCAAACAACACAATCACAATGTTCGGAGGTACAAGCTATTCAAATTATCACTAGACAAAGTCATCCAAGTTCAATCACAAGAAGACCCTAAAGTGAAAGTGAAGCCACTTTTCTTGCAAACTACCAGCTGGGGATTTTCGAATTTCTGCTAATCTATCAAAATCTTACAGACCTCAGAAACACGCAAACTTTAAAATCCATTTCTTGACCAAAATACCGATAGCAAATGACCACTGCAAATGAAACTGCACCAGGAAATAAAATCGAGCAGGAGTTTTAAACAAACGATATGCGAAAGGAGGTTTTGGGGTGCGGTGGTTGGTATATGAATGCGACTTTAGAGATGAGACGTAACAGACGCTTGAAGAATCTTTCCAAATATAATAGTTCTGATGTTTTGTAGACACATTTCCAAAAACTGCACCTTAGACAAAATGACGTATATGATATTCAGCAACTCTGTACCATTGTTCTGGATAAGTTGTGGCAACGAGTGTGTGGATTGAGGGACAAAGCTTTGAGAAGTGGTGATCCACGGGATCAGTGTCGGATTGAAACCCCGAAGGCCCCCTAGGCGTCTCTCGACCTGGTTATGTTTATACAAATGCTATATTTTAGGTTGTTATAAAAATGTTATGTAAACAACATCAAAGATATTGAGCACAGCGATACTTAATTGGGTTTCTTCATTTTATTTGATTAAAGGTACCATTTACAATTCTTTTTTAAAAACTGTTATAAAAATTATAGTATCCCCGACTACCGGAGAGGTACTTTAGGAGCCGTCCATTAATTACGTCAACCATTTTAAAGCCTTTTTGACTCCCCCCCCCCCAACCCTTGTCAGCAACCCATTTTAACCCCTTTTGACCCCCCCCCCCCCACCCTTGTCAGCAACTGCCACACTTTCAGTGACCCCCCCCCCCTTTTTTTTTCAAGTAATTGTGTCAACTTTTGTATAACCCCCACCCCCAAAAAATAAATAAAATAATAATTATAATATAAATAATATTGTTTATCGATTTTAATAATATAAAATTGTAGGAACAACATTTTATCGCATCTTTGGCTTGTTAATCAAAACGTTTTTACACTTAAATTTTATAATGCAGAATCAGTGTAAAGGTGATTCAAGGCTATATCATTGTTTGTGGACGTAGTAATATGATAATGGTCAGTATAGCTGACAATTGCAGCATATTTTCTAGCTGCTATCATATAGCCAGGTTTTCCTGCGGAACTATCAGACAAGTCAACATCATCCTCATCTAACCATTCAGCACTTAAAATAGAAGCATTGTCAGTGTGAGCAATAATTGCCATAAGCTCTCTCTGTCTCCTGGCAGCTGCTTGCATTAGTCGAATCCTTTTTTTATTGGGCAGCAGGTGGTAATTTCTTATGCATTGTCGGTACTGTTGAACTTGCTATTTCAACATGACTTGTGATGCAAAATAGATGTTACTGATTTTGCAAAACCGTTCAAGCAGCGATGTTATTATTGTTTTAATTCCCTTTAATTCCCCCTAAGTCTCAAAATATCGTATTCCTCCTCTATCAATATCACTTATCTTGACCGCACGTGACACTTGAACATTGTCCTTGTTCCATACCTGCAACATCACTGCAAACATACCGCCCTAGTCATTTGAGATAAATAGAATCTTCAGTCGAAGAGAGGCCAACTTTTGACCCATCTTGCATTAAACTAAATGTGCTAACTTTCTGACGAGCCATCAACAGTGCACACACAGACACACATTAAATAAATCTTATATTGTTAAAAGCTTACAAATTATATAACTGTTTTAATTTACGCTCATCAAATTTGTTTAATAAAATAATAAGCAGTCAATTTAAGATTAAAATTTTAATAGAGAAAACATGATTGTTGACGTCAATAATCGAACCCTCTTCTCCCCCACCAAACCCCCCCTCTACCACTTGTCAAAAATTGTCAAACATTTCCACCACCACCCCCCCCCCCTTTTTTTTTGTTGACAATTAATGGACGACCCCTTAAAGTAATTTTTTTTTTGTTAAAAATTAATGAAGAACCCCATAAAAAAAAAAAAAGAAATAAAAAAAAAAAAAAAAAAAAAAAAAGTAAATATATTTACCAATATATGTGAACAATTGAGTTGTCACCCATGAATATGGTTTAGTTTACCAAAATAATAATAAATTAGGTAAATAATTATTATACTGAAATGAAAAATTCAAAATCAAACTATTTTCTTGAGTCATTCAAAACATAGTAGGCTGTAGCAATTGGATTAGAGGCTACTCAAAAGTTGATGGTGCATGTTATTCAAAAAGTATTTTTGAACACTTAACTGGTTTAGATCACGTTTGACGTTTACTCAATACTACTCTAAAGTTATACTACTACTACGCAGCTCTCTTGCCAGTGCAGCCTTGAGTCTAAGCCAGTGGTTCTCAACATTTCTATGGCCGCGACACTTTAATACAGTGCATCGTGTGTTGTGTGTGGCGAATCCCAGCCACAAAATTATTTTCGGTTATATTTCATAACTATAGAGCATATGTGTTTTCAGATAGTCTTAGGCGACCCTGGAAAAGGGCCGTGCGACCCTCAAAGGGGTCGCGACCCACATGTTGAGAACCGCTGATCTAGGCCCTAGACTGTTGTGTTGTAATTGTTTAAATTACCGAATATTATTAGTCACTACTACGACTACCATAGTAAATATAATTTATATTTCAAAACATTGTCATATAGTCCAATTAGAAAGTGTAGCCTTGGGGCTCTCTGTAATACTAGTAATAGGCCTATAGTAGTATTTCTAGAGCATAGTCCAGCCGTGAAAACTAAATAAAGACGATATATCTGTTTAGAATAGTGGTTCTCAACCTTTCTAGTGCCGCGACCCTTTAACACAGTTTCGTGTGTCGTGGCGACACCCAGCCACACACTTATTTTCGTTGCTACTTCATAGCTGTAAGGATATGATATGTGTTTTCAGATGGTCTTAGGCGATCCCCGGAAAAGGGTTGAGAACCGCTGGTTTAGAAACTTCTAAAACTATTTTTAGCAAACGCCAGTTGTTTTTTTATTAACATGGAACATGCGCAGTAGTATTCTGAAGAACAACAACCCAATGAACTTGAACTTGAACCGTATTTAAACTAGGTCGACGACCAGAAACCACCACAAGTTTCTTGTTTACGTTCGAGTCCTATAGCCGGTTCTCGACAGTTCTATCGCTGCGAGTATATATTCAGCCGTAACAGAAAGCAATGTCAGAAATTCGCAAAATTGGACTTGTTACCAGGAAGAGAAAGTGTAAACACAGAAAGCACAAACAATCTACTAATCATAAGCAACTTCAAACTAGCACACTTCCCATCGTCACTGGCGTTAATTCATATGAACTGCAAACTTGAAGGTAAGTTGATTTTTTGCGTGTCTCACACTCTTAAATTTAAATCACTTGTCATTTATCGAGAATTTAATCATATTTTTCAATGCCCAATATTGAAATGCAATGATTACAATTAATCATGAATTGTAACTAGTAACTGTAAAGTTGTTAAAGTTAAGTGTAAATAAATATGACATACTTTGTAACACTTTGTTTCATTTAAAGTAAATTTTTAAAGTATAAGTTTAAGAGTAAGAGTTTCAAGTGACAACAAGACAAAGTAGCTTAGCTAGGCGTGTTTGCACGATTTTGAGGAAAATGTAGGCTAATTAATTTAATTTTAAAAAAATTACTTAAATCCTTAACATTTATTATGGTAATTTTTTTAAACAATATATTTTATAGTATATAAATATAGGTTTAAGTTTCATAACATTAAAACACCTGACCCTAATTATAATTTG